TTTTATTGTTACTAGTCTCTTGTCCAGTCTTCTTTGGAAATACATGTTCAAAGAATGATGCATTCCGAGACTCTATAATAGTATTTACATGCATTTCGGAATGTTCTGATTTATGAATCAAAAACCGCTATGCACTACTATTCTTGGCATAACCAATGAAAATGCAACTCACATAGGTGATTCTTATGAAAAGTATCCTGCCATACTCCACTAGGTTTACCTAGATATAAGAATCATTAAAATTTTACTTAACCTCAAACGCTGCAGACATCACTTATTTTATCATAGAAATGGGTAGGAGTTGGACTCCACAGTGATCCTTCTGAGTCAATCACAACTCGGTTGTCCCTTTGAACCTAGATCTTGGGATCTCCAGTCAACTAGGTTGGGTTGCCGTTGTGGTAACTCTTATTTAATAGGCTTTAGTCCCATTCCCCTCGATGAATTCTCAACTAACTCTCTTGCTAACCCTTTGGTTAGTGGATCCGCTATGTTGTCTTTAGACTTAACATATTCTATGGAAGTAATTCCATTAGAGAGTAGTTGTCTTACGGTATTATGTCGACGACGAATATGTCGAGACTTACCGTTATACATATGACTCTGTGCTCTACCTATAGCTGATTGACTATCGCAATGTATACATATAGCAGGCACCGGTTTTGGCCATATTGGAATATCTTCAAGGAAGTGGTGAAATCCTTCTGCCTCTTCCCCTGCTTTGTCTAAGGCTATGAATTCTGATTCCATAGTAGACCTAGCAATACAAGTCTGTTTGGAAGATTTCCAAGATACAGCTGCCCTACCAAGAGTAAAGACATACCCACTGGTGGACTTTGAGTCTTTAGTATCTGATATCCAATTTGCATCACAGTATCCTTCAAGTACTGCTGGATATCTTGTATAATTAAGTCCGATGTTATGAGTAAATCGGAGATATCTCAGAACCCTTATAATTGCTTTCCAGTGTTCTACTCCTGGATTACTCATAAATCTACTTAATTTACTTACTGCATAAGCTATATCTGGGCGAAAGTGCAGTTCATCAAGTACATTAAGCTTCCAATAATTTGGACATACTCTAATTGAAAAATACTTTCCTGTACATTCTTAGAAAGATACAAATTAACATCTACAGGTGTTCTAGGAAGATGATCATCATCTTTGTTGAATTTGTCAAGTATTTTCTCAATGTAATGAGATTGTGACAAAGCATATCCTTCTGATGTTTTGGTAATTTTCATACCAAGAATTACATCAGCAATGCCCATGTCTTTCATGTCAAAATGTTTATTCAACATTTTCTTGGTAGTCTTAATCATATCATTATTACTACCAATGATGAGCATATCATCTACATAAAGACATAAAATTAGTTGTGGGAAACAAAACTATTTTTTTTTTTTTTTAAAGATGTTATCTTTTGCCCAAACTATTGATTTTTATACTTTGAATGCTATGTTTCATAGATATAGAATGCTTGGATTGTGCAACAAACTCATTGCCTTGTCAAATTTCTCATGCCATTGCTTTGGCGCTTGTTTTAAACCATATAATGATTTAGCCAATTTATACACTTTCTTTTCTTTTCCTAGAATAGAAAAACCTTCTGGCTGTTTCATGTAAATTTCTTCATTTAACTCACCATTTAAGAAAGCAGTTTCCACATCCATTTGATGAATTTCTAGATTGTATAGAGATGCAATGGCAATTAGCATTCTAATGGATGTTATTCTAGTAATCGGTGAGTATGTGTCAAAGTAATCAAGACCTTCTTTTTGCCTAAAACCTTTGACCACAAGTCTTGCCTTGTATTTGGCAATTGCTCCATCCGCTTTCATTTTCCTTTTGAAAATCCACTTGTACCCAAGAGGTTTACAACCTGGTGGCAAGTCCATTAATTCCCAAGCGTGATTTTGCAAGATGGATTCAACTTCACTGTTGACAGCTTCTTTTCATAAAGGAGCTTAAGGACTGGACATAACCTCTTTAAAAGTTAAAGGTTCATTTTCTAACAAATATGTTAGAAAATCTGGACCAAAAGATTTTGAGGTTCTAGCACGTTTACTACGCCTAAGTTCCTCTTCCCCATTTTGATCTAACTCTTGTTCTTGATCATGTTCTTGATCCTGACTAGTAATAGCACCATGAGATCTCTTATTGTTACTAGTCTCTTGTTTAGTCTTATTTGGAAATACATGTTCAAAGAAAGATGCATTCCGAGATTCAATAACAGTATT